TTTAAAAATAAACCAAGTTAAATAACTCTGAAATCATTCAAATTTAAATAATTCACCATATTGAGTGGCAGCAAGTATGAGTAGCTCTTGAGAGAGTGTGCAGTTTTAAGCGTGTATTTTTCGAATATTGTAATGTGCACAACTCTGGGAAAAGTAATGTCTGCAAAAGATAATCTTTTTGGCTTTTTAAAGGACCAGATATGGGGTTAGTGTAGCCTTTACCTTAGCCCTTGTTCGTCACCCTCAGAATAGCTTCCTCAACTTCAGTAATATGTGGTGTCTAAAGGCTAGTAAGTAGAAGTACACGCCATTTTTGCCATCAGTTCTAATGGGAAATGTCAACTCACTAGTCGACAAGTGTGACGACTTAAAAAAACTCGCTGTTAGACTCAACAGCGAGTTTTTTTAAGAGGATGTATTTTAAGATACTTACTCAGCAGTGTGTTAACTGTAACCTTTTCAGGATCCACCCCAACCTGCGTTCAGTGGTGTACTGCAGTGCCATTGCAGCAGGTGATGAGGCTGAGTGGGAGTTTGGATGGTTACAATTTAAGATTGCTTCTGTAGCAAATGAGGCCAACAAACTCATGTTTGCATTGGCCTGCACAAACAACACAGAGCTGCTAAACAGGTATGTGTCTCCTTCCTGTGCACAAATAAATGGAACATATAGTGATGTAACAAGTCAAGTAAGAAAATCCCTAATGTGGCCCATAAATCAAGTCAGGGAATTTGCAAACAAACAAAGCAGATTGTTTTTGGTTTTTTTTTACACCTGATGGCCATTAAATTCACTTCAATATTATTTATTTAGTGCCAAATTACAACTGTTGCCTCAAAGTGGCATCTGTCACTTTGTGAGTAATGACTTTGGCCATCACTCATAGACTTTGTAGGAGAGACCCTCATTTTTGCCTTTGTAAGCACCTGCTGAATTGGTGCAATGTAATTGTGTTTAGAATTTTAGGCAAAGCCTTGGGCAATCTCCTGCGTCTCCAGAACTCGGTTCTCAGGCTTCTAGCGCACACTAAGCTCTGACAAGATATCACCACCACCCTAAAAATCTCCACAGGCTCACACATTACTTATAAGAGCCTTCTTCTAACTTACAAGTCCCTCGGTGACCTAGCTCCTCAGTATCCTTCTGACTGCCTTCACCTATACAACACTTACTCTGACACTATTGGTGTGGCAGGCCCATCACTTGAAAGATTGTTGAAAATGGGAACCACCACCCCGGTCTGCCAGTTCAGAGGTACTGACACATCCACACTCAACATTGAAGAGTCGTGCCAACTAAGACAGCCCTACAACATCCAGGGCTTTCAGGAACTCAGGTTGAAACGAATCCACCTCAGGGGGCTTGCCACCAAAGAATTGTTTAACTGCCACAGTCATGCGTGAGCTGTCTCCCTCATTCCCAGACTCGTCTTCCTCAATGCAAGACATGTCAGTGGGATTAAGGAGGTTCTTAAAAGTATTCCTTCCACCACCCAATGATATCCTCACTTGAAGTCAGCAGCACTCCACCCACACTGTGGACAATGCTGGTAGAGCACCTCTTTCCCCTTATGAGTCACCTAATGGTTTCCTAGAATTGATTCGAGGCGGTCCAAAAGTCTTTTTCCATGGTCTCACTGAGCTCCTCCCACATCCACATTTTTGCTTTACTCACTGCCTGAGCAGCATTCTGCTTTGCCTGCCAGTACCAGTTGACTGCCTCCAAAGTCCCACAGGCTAACCAAGCCCGACTGGACTCCCTCAACCTGATGGCTTCCTTCCCCTCTGTTGTCTGCCACCCTTTTTCGGGGGTTACCACCATGACAGGCCACAGCTCAGTACAGCAGCCTCAGCATTGGAGGTGCTGAACATGGTCCATTCGGACTGAGTGTGCCCAGTATCCCTTGGAAGGCTGTCGAAGCTCTGCCAGAGGTGAGAGTTGAAGATCTTGCTGACCAAGGCCTCTGCTAGGTGTTCCTAGTGCACCGTCACTATACATTTGTGTGCACAGGTCTGTCCAGCTTCCTATAGCCCCACCAGGGAGGTGACGTTCCATTTCCTCCTCACCGGACCCTGTAGCCAGAGGTCGGTCTGCCAGGGTCTCCACCCTTGGCTGGCACCAATGCACCCAACCCACATGGCGTCTCCTGTGGATGGTGGGCCTACAGGAGGGTAGTTCCATGTCCCTTTTTCGAGCTGTGCCCTGGCAAGCCCCTTGGGTTAAAGCCTTAGATTTAACAAACTGATATAATGAAAAGAACTGTTTTTTAAAGCAGCATTGTCTCCCATAAAAATTTTTATAAAGGAACTCATTATAAAAACTGAAACTATTTTTGCAATCTATTGTAGCTTTAAACCTTTTAAGAAACACTGAGTTGAGTGTGGATACAGCAGAGACACTAAACATAGGTGAAGGAGCTTTAGTAACTGCATTTCTTGTTTTAACTGTTTTCACAGGTATCTGTCTTACACTTTAAACTCCACTATCATCCGGAAGCAGGATGCCACCAGTGTCATCACATCTGTCGCCAGCAACAGAGCAGGACAAAAGCTGGCTTGGGACTTTGTCAGAAACCATTGGGAATACATGTTCACAGAGTTAGTATCACACTGATAAAAATAATGTGTGAGGTGGAGCAATAACTGAAAATACAGAAAACATCAACATGGAGTGTGAATTTTAGTACAGTAGCATAAGGTTGTTAAAATATAATTTTACCCTTTTTTGATTGACAAAATAATAATCAGCACTTCTTTTATTCTGAAAGCATTTATCAACCATCAGTTTAAGTCTTGAATGAATATTTTAATACAGTCAATTGAAGTCAGAATGGATTGTTATAGGCCAAGTAAAGGAGGGTTCAAAACCTGAGCTGGTACAGGTGTGGTCAGAAGTCTACATGGGCATGATTATTATGGTAATTTGCGGCTCTTGATGATTTCTATTAACTTTATTTTTCCAGGAAATGGTTGTACAGCATAGCTCTATAATGACCTTTAAAAAGGGTATACAAGTTTGAATTTACTTTGGATTTTCTCTAATGCCATAATGCCACACCAATAGTGTCAGTGACCTTTTTCACTCACTGTGTGTTTATCCAGCACTCCATTTTAATCTGTGGCACTCTTCCACAGCATGTCTTTGTCCCGTCTTCCCCCCTTCACCCCAGCTGGTGATAGTAAATGGACCAGGCTCAGCTCCTTCCTTAACCTGGTTCTGCTAGAAGTTTATTCCTGTTAAAAGGAAGTTTTTCGACCTTATAATATAAAGTGCTTTAAGGCAACTTTCGTTGTGATTTGGTGCCATATAAATAAAACTGAACTGAATTGATAATTGTTTTATCATTTGTTCCTTTGTGCTTTTGAGTTTTGTTATTTCATGCTTTAGGCCCTTGCCTAGCTTTTGTTATAGTTCTTTGTTCCCTTTTCTGATTCTTCTCTATTTCCGCATGTCTGTCTGGTTGTCTCTGTGTTCTGTCTCTGTGGTTTCTGGTCTCTCCCTGTTTAGTTGTGTCAGATGGTCTTTTCTCCCTAGTCTCCGTGTTTCTTTCCCTTTTTTCTGTCAAGTTTGTATATCTTTGTCTCTGTCTCAGTGTTGTTTCCTGTTTTATTTAGACAGTCCCCTGTCTTGTGTGCATTCTGTTCACTTTTCTCCCTGCTGTCTCATTAGTCAGTTTCTGTTCAGGTGTTCCCTAGGTGTATCTAGTCTGCTTTGTAACCTCCTGTGTCTGTTTTAGTCCTCCATTTGCCTCAGTTCATTTCCCTCATTTCTCCTCATGCTGTTTTTTCACTCGTCCTGTGTGTTTCCTAGTTTCCACATTTCTGGTTTTATCTGTGCCTGAGTATTTAGTATTTTTGAGTTTGAGTACTAGCAGTAAAGCTGGCCTTTAAGTTTATGTTTAGTCTGTGGAGTCCTGCATTTCGGTTTATTCCCTGCTTACCACACTGATTATCATAATGTATACAGTTGTAACTTGGCTTTGGTTTACTAAAACTAAAAAATAAACCATAAATAAACCATGATATTCATTCCCATGAATGTATGTTAATTTCTGACCAGAAACCATCAACGAGACCATCATATCAAAGCTTCCAAGAATCTGTGAAATAAAGCATTCTCGTGTTCTTTCAGATATGGCGTGGGCTCTTTCTCCTTTGCTTCTATGATCACTGGGGTAACAGCGAGGTTCTCCACACCTGCTGAACTACAGGAGGTATACACTCATTAGGTACAATACAAAACCAATTTTTAAATGTTAAGCTTTTGTCTGAAGTCTTTTCCTATGATTTCTCTCACAGCTGAAGGAATTTGTCGAGGCGCACAGTGCAACAGGGTTTGGTTCTGCCACACTGGCTGTAGATCAGGCCCTGGAGAGGACCAGAATGAACATCAAGTGGCTGCAGACAAACAAACAGGAAATCCTGAACTGGTTCAACAGTCAGAACGGAGATCAGATGCAGTAACAAAGGTGTGTTTGGAGATTTAGTGTTGTTTTGGTTTTTTTCTGGAAAAAAAGAGTGACAATTTTATAAACTACTGGTGTTAAAAATGAAAAACAGCATGCAGTAATAAAGTAGTGAAAGATGTCTGTCCAAATTAAATTTGATTTGACTGTATATGAGATATGTTTTAATAAATAATAAACTCAGATGATCCCTTTATTAAACTGACTGACAAATGCAAATAAACTAAAATGTAACCAAACTGTAAAAACATTTTACCCATTTTATTTTAGATAGATATCAGATTTGATGATATCCTCACATCAAAACTAAAAAATGTATTTCATAGATGTGTTATGGGATCTGACAAAGTCTGATTTTAATGGTGAACAAGTCTTCCTTACTTTTTATAAACTTCAAAACTCGCCTCTGTCAGTGCGTCCCAGGGCAGCTGTGGCTACAATGTAGCTTACCATCACCAGTGTGTGAATATGTGTGTGTGAATGGGTGGATGCCTGAATGTAGTGTAAAGCGCTTTGGGGTTC